TTAGTCGCAGATTACTCTATTAGGAGCTGTGCCTTGTCAAAATAGATCAAAACCTATATAGCTGGACCATGTGGGAATTTAATTTGAAAGGACAGACACAGGAAGTGGCCACGCTCAGCAGTCAGACAGGAGTCAGGTTACAAACCAATCACAGCCTACAGATACCTTTACCTTCTTCTGTAAATATTCAGTCTGATAAATACGGAAAACCATCTTCTCTGGTACTCATGGTTTCAGTAAAGTGAACTGAAGCATTGAACTGTGGGGAATCTAACCGAGCTAACGATGTGTAGCATCTCCATACTGACAAATGTTTAAACTTTTTTATCAGGATGTGCGATCTAATCAGCTTACTAATGTTGGCTCCAGTGGGTAGACAAAAACCTGGTTTTATACATCCGAAGAACTTCTATAAAAATAAACTGCTTGGACACCAGACCAGGCCTCTAATTAGCCCTTTTTAAATAGGAATTGTGCAAATTCGCAGGGAAACCCAATCAGTCTTCTTTCAGCATTGGCAGTATAAAAACAAAATCGGGGAGTGCAGCAAAATGCCACCTACCTACTTTTGTTCATACTTGCTTTCACCGTCCCCGTCATTTGACGGTTAATGGCCTCTTCGTTTGCGAGTGCAAGGAGGGTGCGCAATTCCTTGTCTCCCCCGTTGCTCATCTTTACAGTGTCTGTCAGGTTTGCGTTTCCCTCTTGCTTTTACATGTTCGCTAATTCCTGCTATCAGCTGTTTCCTGTTTATCCCCCGCCAGTGGGTCACACGTGCGGCATCATCAACAGCTCCTCCCACAAGTCATCGACAGCACCTCCCGTGGCAGAGGGGCGCCTCGTTCTTTTCAAACCAAAAAGGCTCCGCCAATATGTTTACCCCTACATGGCGGAAAATTGGGCACCTCGGATCAACTCGCCAATGCAGCTCTGTGTGTCTAAACGCTCACAGCTTGCTGGCAAGCCTGGATTGCTTGCCCGGATTTAAAAAAATAATAATTATGGCTAAAACGTAGTTTCTTCCATCACTAGAACTAAGATAAAAATATTCACAAACGAAAAAACAGTGTTTAACTTTTGATTGAACACTAAATTAAAACCCTCGGCGCACACTGCAGCACAATCAAACAGATGCGCAACTCAGAGCATCAGAAGTGTCTCTGACACCAGACTCAGAGCGGACCGGTGAAACTGGGAAATGCATATTAGGCTTACTAGTTACTACTTACGTTTTTCAAGTGATTTCCCAAATTTGTTGTTGAGTTGTGATATGCCAATTGGGTTAGTGTTCCGTTTAAGGCCTCCCCCAAAATGACGGAAAAAAAAAAAAGCGCTGAAGCTTCGAATTTTTTTTTTATTTCTCCATAATCGAAACCCGTGCCATCGAACAAAGCTTCGAATTTTTTTGGGTCAGCCCTAATAGAGACAGGCCTTTATTTGTCAAAATATGGAGCCAAGCCGAGCTAGTAAAAAGGACTGGGCGTTTAATTAAAGTTTAACGGAACATTTCGAGCTGCCACAAGCCTCTTGTCCATGAGTAGATGCACATTTCCTTCTGCATGGGGATTTGGTTGATAGGTGTAGTTCAGCAGAAAGAAAATAGTTCCTACATTAAACTGCTCACAACAAGGTCTGTGGATTATCTTGAGTAACAAGGTCATGATTTCTGGAAAGAGACACTGCTGCTGAGTTTTTTTAAAAGGTTTTTTTTACGCTTTGAGCACCACAAGCTGAGTGCCATCTAGTTCCATTAAAGAGAGAGCAGACATCTCTACAGCTGATATCTCCAACACTCGGCAACTCACACCAAAACAATCTAGACTGATAAACAGCACTACAGGTGAGAGGAAAATAATGTAATTTTGGCTTTAGAGTGAACTGTCCCTTTAACATTTAGTCATTAAGTTCTTTACTGTTTGTTACCAGATGCATATTTGCACATAACATGGAGTATGACCTTTTATACAACTATTGAGGAATGCTTGCAACAAAATGTGCAACCAGAAATAGACCAATTTTTAATATAAGAACAGATGAATGCAGCCTTTAGAGTTCACTGAGCAGTGTTACAAAACATATGCTAAGAGCTTTAATAAAAAGCAACACATACAGTCTGTTTGGTTCCATATATACATGTATATTGTGTATATAATAATGATCATCATTTCCATTTACCATCTAAACATCCCCAGCTGTCACTAATGGAAAGGCAAACAGGCCCTCTTTTTTTTTGTGTGTGAATGAAGAGACATAGCGAGGCCGGGCTAAATCACTCTGCCTTCTGCTTATTACTGTCCTTTTCCTACTTCTCTCCTTTCAATGCACATCGAGCCAAACTAAATAGCCTGATGCCTTTTCACACATATGCTAATACTAAATAATCCTGCCTGTATCAGGGGCCGGGTAATTGGGTTGCCTCTTCTCTCGCCTCATTTGAGTCCATTTGCTGACAGGATTACAGGCTATTATCCCTCAGGATCCCTTAGGATCTCCTTAGGCCTTCAGATGGCCAAAACACACAAACAAATGGTGTGTGTGTGTGTGTGTGTGTGTGTGTGTGTCGGGCTCTCTGCCTGAACACTGACTGTCATAGCACAGCTGTGTCATTTCAAGTTATCATCATCTTCTATCATTATTGCTTTCTCTGAGGATGCTTCAACATAAGTACAGCATACGCCCCGATCTGAAGCACAAATAGTCCGAGACTTCTGTCCTCCGAAAAGCCTCTCAAAGGCTGAGAAAGCTTTCCGGTGAATGGACGGTCGATCAGAGCAAAGCAGCAGGAGGAGGAGGAGGAGGAGGAGGAGGAGGAGGAGGAGGAGGAGGAAGAAGGAGGAGGTGTACATATCTCTGACAGGTAGGAACCGGACTGTTGGTCAGCACAGGACATGACATCATCACTGTGTCAAAGTAACTGCTGCTCATCATGCCACAAATGCCCAATTAGGCGAATCCAGTGCGAATAAAGGGTCAGGTCTCCCAAATTAGAAGACGTATAATTTCCCACTTCACTTAAGTGATGTAGATAGTAGTTTGGGCTACATTTATATCTGCAGCTGAGACGTCCTGAACCACTTCAGAGTTTCCCCTATAATTGGGAACCCAGAGCAGGCAAAAAAAATTTAAATCCCCAAAATAACGGCACACTTCCATTCCAGTGTTTCCCCTATATACATTCTGTAGTGGCGCACCGCTGTGAGTCCAAGAACGAGTCAAGTGTCTGTTGTTAGTTCATGTCTGTAATAACAGCAGGACGGCCAAGTGTCTGTTATCTGAACTGCCAAAGTCAGTTGAGCAGACGAAGAGAGGACACTCAGCAGACCAACGCACTCTCACTCCGACGTTTGGTCATGGACTTTCCATGTCCACATACGATGCGCACAGTACCCTGGATGCGCTGGTTGTTGATGTTCTGGGACAGTGTGTCAAGTTCTGCATTTTACATGCTTTGTCTTCATTCAAAATACACTTCTGTTTTCACAGGAAATTTACCGTTTACATACAGTCTCTAATAAACGCACTATGTCGCACATGGTTGGATTTAGGCAACAAAAACATGTGTTTAGGGGGTTTGGCTTTAGAATCCTGTGGGACACGAACACCACTCTCTCCGGGGAAAGTCCCACCTGCCTCAGTTGGACTTTCACCGCCTTAAGTTTCGTCCTTGTCCCACTGCATTTACCCCTTTTTGGCGCCCAACTGCGGCCCTTTTTGCCAGGGACAGGACATCACTGTCGCACCAGTGGGTTGGGTTATGCTGTTGGTGGCTACTGGTTACTAACAGGCCTCAGTAGTGAACAACACGGCAACGTGTTGACAGACTCTGTTTTTATGTTTTTAGCTGAGCTAGACCTAGCTAGTTAAAACAGATCAGTGAGGCCGTTTTGCCCTCATTGTTCTCGAAGAAGTTTGCTAGATGTGGTGTAATGTAGCCTTGGCGGTGCGTTTTATGTGGAGTGAGCCCTGCGCCGGACTGCCTAGTTTCTTAGGGTGCTTTCACACCTGCCCTGTTTGGTTCGGTTCAGTTGAACTCTAGTTCATTTGCCCCCTCAGTGCGGTTCGTTTGTGCAGGTGTGAACACAGCAATCGCACTCAGATGTGCACCAAAACAACCAGACTGAGACCTTCATGAAGAGGTGGTCTCAGTCTGGTTACAAATGAACTCTGGCGCGGTCCGTTTGTGTTCCGACCTGGATCTGAACCAACTGCAGTCACATGACACATTGTTTGGGTTAAACATGAGCATGCTACAGTCCTGGAGGATTAGCAATGTGCGCCTCCCACTCGCATTGTGTCGCATTTATCTTGCAAGTGTACTCTTCTTCAACGTTTTGTTTACTTCCTGAATTTTTTCCACATGGAAATTCTGACCAATCAAGAGCAGCTTTCTCTAGCACAAGGCATTTGATCTGGTTCTCTTGTAAATGCTGCTGTGAGAACACGAACCAACTCTAGGCAATTATGTAACTTTGGAACAAAATTAGTCCCTGATTCAGACCAAAGCAAGACAACTCTAGGTATGAAAGCACCCTTAATGCTTCATTGCTTGCCAGCAATCAGTTATATGGTAACTTAGGAGGCAATCTGGTCTTGTGTGCTCTGATTAATTTGGCATGCAGTTCAAACACCAGTCATGATTTTATTTGAAGGAAAACTCAACTCCTGGCATTCGCTTCTGGTGTTCTTCACCGCTGTTTTGGAAGAAGGAAATAGCGAGAGTAACAGGCCAACAAGTTTTTTAAATGACATACCTTTCTTTTTAATGAGTGCTGTGCAGTGGTGGATTTCAAACACTGATAACCTAAATGTTGTCAAGTGTGTCGTCAACAGTGTGTTGTAAAGTCAAGTCAATTTTCATTAGTATCACCCAATATCTCAGATTTTTCATTAGAAATTACCAAAATCTTTTCAGCTCTATCACAGACCTGAAAGATTTGGACTCACAAATTCATAACAAAACTTCCTCCATCCTCTCACGCTCACACTGTTAGTGAACTCACCCTCTGGCTGGTGGTTGAGGATCATGTTCTTCAGAGTGTTGCAGTCCACAGTGGGCAGTCCATTGTCCGTGTACGCAGATGGCCGGTAGTTGACGTCTGACCTGGAGCGATTGTGTCCCTTCTTGAAGGCCGAGTTGGACGAGGAGTTGGCAGCGTTGTTGGTGCACTCCTTGCTATGGGCTGCCAGGTCGTTGGTGGAGCGCGCTCGGCTTCTCTTGCCGTGCCTCAAGCCCATCCCCAGCCCCAACACGCTGAAGTTGTCGGCCCAGGCCAGGCCTAGGGGCCCCACCTCCGGCTGCTCTCTAGCCAGCAGGCCCCACACACCGCTGGAGCTCAGCTTCCCCAGCGCGGCACTGGACACCTCCTGCAGCTGCTTAGGCTGCCTGGAAGGCTGGAGGGTCCCTGTTTGAGCTTGGCTTGGACCTTGTATCCCGTCCATGCAGTGGATGAAGTCCTCGGTGGCCTCGAGAGCCGGGCTGATATCGCCCACCATGTCGAGCTGCTCGAGCCCCTCCATGGCTGGGCTCCTTCCCCCTGAGCTACAAGTCTCACAACAAGATGGTTTTCCAAAACGGGCACAAAAACACTGTCAGCAGCATCCACATGTCCAACAAAACAAACCGGCTGTCAGCTGGTCAAATCCAAGTCTCTAAGGTATGTGAGAATGGTCCAAGCAGCCTTCAGGCTTCACAAACTGGAGCCAAGTCCTGTTCGCCTCCTCAAGTCAGGGCTTTCATCCAGTGTTACAGCTCCTTTTCAATGGTCTGCCTCTAGCTCTGGAGGGAAAGTCGACAACCTCCCTCTGGGGAAAGCTTATGCGGCTTTATGCCAGAGCTAAACAAGACTGGCAGTAGCCTGGAGTTCCCCAAATTCGAGCTAGTCTGGGTGGCAAACTACATTACTTAGCCAGACACACTTTGGGTAAGACAAAACCCTACAATCCCTCTGTTCAGACTGAGATGCGCCGACGCTGGTTATTTTGGCCTGTCAGGTGGCTGTGAAGTCATCAGGAGACTGTTTGTGGCTTTACTGTAACAAATAAAAGAGAGAAAGAGGAAATGGTTAAGAGGAAGCATGCTGAACAAAAGCAAGGAGCGGAAACACAGCTGACAGTGAGAATACTGTGATTAATTTAAACATAAAACTGACTCACTTGCCAGGTGAGGCTTTGCCAGGAGAAAAGTTTGATAAGAAGATAACACAGCCTCGACTTCAACAACTTTAAGCACCAAACTACCGACCCACCTACAGCATCTCCATCACACTGAGACCGAAGCTTCACAGATTCCTCCTCAGCAGAAAGAGAAACGATCATCCTCCCTTACATGTCCCGATGAAATAATACTTGACTTCCTCCTCAGCTGCTTATCACTGGTCTGAGCGGGCAGAGAGGAAGCAGGCCTGGGTGGGGTTCCCATCCATCTGCCTGTCTCTTCTGATTCCCTCAACTCCTCTGTCTCCCTCTCCTTTATCATTTGTGCTCTCTCTCCCCCTCATTGATTTTCCTTCTCCTCCACAGCTCAGCCTCTTTTACTTTTCTCTACATATGAATTATTTAAAGAGCATTACATCACTGCGATTCAATTTCTAGTCAGGCCGAGCGATACATTGAATATTCAGGATTGATCTGTGATGATTTGTTGGAGATGCAAAGGAGGATATTATCGTACATATCACTGTGATTTTAATAATTGTATGGATTTTATTTGGGCATTTATGAACCTACAAATATACATTATGATACAGTGCACTACTGCATGGCAATAGAACATTTAGTGCTGGGAAACAGCCGCAACATCCCATTGAAGCTGCTGACATGCTCAACTGTTGCCATTTTCACAATTTCAATCACAATCAGTCTCGATTTTATTATCTGATCTGTATGTACTTCCCATTTAATTTCATTAGATGATAAAAATAAATGAAACTGAAAGAAAAAGAAAGTGAGAATAAGATTTAAAAAATGCACTAATCCCGAGATGACACAGTTAGCAATGCAGTTTCTTTATGCAAGTGTGTGTCAGGATAATAAAGGGGCAATGCTCCATTAAATTCTAACAAACATTTTGTCTATTCTTTCCTCTTCTGTGTCTGAATTTGATAATTAACAAAGTACTGGCTGTAAAAATACAAGTGCAGCAGCTTTGCCGAGACCTCCGCTGTACCACCGATCACTAACACTGACTAGTTTATATTCCATTTTTAATCTAACACCTCGTACGATCACACACTGACATGATATCATCTGCCCGCAGCTCCAGCTCTGACTTAACCTGAGCGTCGTCATCACCAAGTTACTCATCGAGCTTCCCACTGAACTCCTGCTGACTCACACATGCTGTCAAGCAAACGCAGCCAACAGTAGCCGGAAAGATTAGAATACTTTGGATCAGAGATGAGTGAGGAATAAAGCATGAGGCAGTTCTTTTTGAAATCATGATGTCTGAACGGAAGTTGAAAATGTGACCTGGGGACTGGTCATGATGTGGAAAACAGCCAAATGAGCAAAAATCAATAAATCAAGTGCTGAGTCAACTGATTTTTATCCAGTAAATACTTATCACAGGTTTCACTCTTATCAGTGTTGCCTAAAAGTATAAATTAAGGTGATGTGATGTGGTCAGCGTTTGACCACTGGTCTGGAACAGGTTTGGATTCTTGTGCATGTGCTAAAAGTTCCATTTTTATTTCATGTGAGAGCTCTACAGTATTTTCAATCTAACTGAAAGCAACGTCAGACATATACTGTACATTTTTAAAGAATTTTTTGGGGCATTTTGACTTAATTAGACAGGACAACTATTAGAGTAAAGGTGGAAATATAAAGGAGATGACATGCAGCAAAGGACTGCAGGTTGGAGCTGACGACCGCTGACGCAAGGACATAGCCTTTGTGCATGGGGCTAGTAGGTGCCCCCACTTATACTGTACATAAAAGGAAAATGGGGTTTTAAAAGAGGAGGTTCCCATCCTCTTCCATTTGGACATAGATTTTCAATCGATCAACTTCTTCATCTTTATCTTTTTGTGTGATGAACTTGGATCAAGTTTTGAGTGTGGTTGCTGGAGAGGTGCCAGATCGTGCCCATGGCTTTATCAAGGTGCCCTTAATCAAGGCACCCAACCCCCATCTGCCCCTCCTCACTCTGTCATACATGTCCTGTTTGTACATGTGTGTATTTCGGGCCTATGTGTGTGCGTAATAAATAACAACAGAGTGAAAAAATCAAACTTCTCCTCAAGAGATGAATGAAAAATGTTGTCTCCTTCTTTCAAGGTCTTTTAAAACGCTACTCTGATCTCATCTTTAAGTTGCAGCTGCAGGTTTGGAGCTGTTATTTAACATTTAAAAGTCTAGTAATTCTTTCTGTGAACTTACAAATGCTCACTAACACTGATATACAAACACAGAAACGTGAGCACAGTGTGAAATGTGAGGTTCACATATGACTGGCTTGAAAACATATATATGTCATTCAAATGCACATTTTAAGTGAACAATATCACAAAGCACGTACACATTCTGAGCAAAAACCATCAGCTACAGTCACATGTGTATTTTCTCTTAAATACAGCACCTTGTGTCTTATGGTTTAATGTTTAATTAAACGTAATATGTTGATAATTCTTACTCTCAGGTTGCTGAAAGTCATCAAACACCCACAAACAAACCAGTTAACAACAATACTCACACATCACCCTAATTATATTCCTACGTCATCATATTTGTGGAAAGATTTATATCTTATTTCCTGTTTTTACCCTGTTACATGCACGCAAACAGCCCCCATATAAGTCAGATGTTTCTATGTTTTGTCAGGTATTGTTTGTGCTTTTATATCCAGGCCCTGAGAGCAATTATAGCTCATTAAGCTGGATTTTTTTAAAGCTGAAATGACAAACTTGAAGGTCAGTACACCTCAAAATGAAACAGAAAGAAGCTTGCGAGAGGACTTTGAACACATCACTGGTGCTTATCTCTAATGCTAGTTTATCTCAGAATTAAATAAGAGTCAGATTCAGCTTTCTTGGCCTCGTATGTGGACACGTACAAGAAATTTGACTCCAGTTTCAAATTGCTCTCAGTGCACTTACACAAATAATATTTACAGGAAAATAGACAAAGACATACAGCTTAAAATAAGGGCAACAAAGCTGAATGAAAGGTAGAAATGAATACAGTGCTCTTATCTACATACAAGTAGATTAAAAAAATATGCAAATAAATAAACATCCAATGGAAAAATTTAAACATTAAATTGATTGTTACCTCATCTTAAATCCCTAAAGTAACGTACAGAATGATGCCACATAAGTTTAACACGAATATCAGCAACCAGACATTAAAACGAGCCGGACTGCAGCCTCGGTGCTGTTGTTTGTGTTTACCTTTGCTGCTGTATCAGTAAACACACAGTCAGCATCTCAGCAGTAAACACAGTCAGAGGTGAAGCCACGGTCAGCATTTCCGATAGCTACATTAATTTTCTCCGTCAGCTAGCTCGCTAATATGTTCTGTTTAACACGACACACTTACTGTATATAACGACATGTATGACATAATGTAACGCCTCTGACAGCTGCTGAATGAGGCCCGTTATACCTCCAGCTAATGTGATGTGATGTGGCTAGTTAGCTAGCAGCTAACGCTAGCTTCTGTCTCTCATCCTTCATCAGTGTCACTTTAATAAAAGATGAAACTGTTCGCGCGCTCAAGTGTTAACCATCAAGTGTCAGTGGATCTGTACTGGTGTCGTCCTGTGGTGAAACTGGTGCCGTTAGAGAGCAATAAAACATAAATGGAGACTCACCTTACTGTGTTTACCACTATGTCATTTTGACAGTCCGTCAGGGATAAAGTCCCCTGAATGCAACTGACGCTACAGGATAAAGGTTCCGCGTAACGGTCGTACAGCATACATGGTGGGTCTGTGCAGGTTACACAGTGTTATTCAATTGTTACACTATATACTGATATTTTCTGTACTTATTAATGTGCATGAATAATAATAATAATAATAATAAGTATCATTATTATTATTATTATTATTAAGTATTTTTAAATAATTTTATTTTCAATAATTATCATTTTTCTATATTATGTTTTTATTTTTTATTATTTTAAATGATTATTGAATTATTTAATATTTTTAAATTATTATTATATTATTATTATTTTGTTAATTGATTTATTTTAAATAATCAATCAATCAATTTATTTGTCAGATTATATAAAATACAAATTTTACATTTGAGAGAAATTGTATTTAATTTTTTCATATGATTTCCTTGATTGATTAATGAAATAATACTTCTGCTAATACTACTACTAATAATAAATCATTGAATAAATAAATACAAAAAAATACCAGTAAATAGTGAAATAACTTTATTTATTTATTTAAATTATCAAAACTCAAGCCATGATAATTCTTTTAATATATTTTTATTATTGCAGGAATTATATTTACATATTACATGCCATAATTTTCCTTTCCCATTTTATTTTGTTCCCCATGAAAGTTCCTTAAATTTATGGGGGGGGGGGATACTTAAGTCAAACACTTAAATAAAGATAAAATGAAAATAATTATTGAGGCACACATGACTACCAAAAGAACGCACACCTTCAATGGTGAATGTAATCTGTACAGTCAGAAAATGACAACAGCTATTATCACTATAAACTTATGTCTATTATTATTCCTATGATCACAATGAGGCATACTAAAATTTGTCCTAATTACTTTTTGACTATTTCTAATTTGAAAAAAACAACCTTTTGCGGGGATGTATTTAAATTTCATGGTGCCATTTTTCCATTAACGTGTCATGTCATGTTGAAAATAGACACTTCTGGGTTTTGTTTTCTATTCTTCATTCATAGCTGCATTTCTGCATTCAGAGTTCTGTGAGTTTTCCTACATTTTTCCCAACACCCATTCTCTGTGTGTCACTAATGTGCTCTGTATCAAGGTGATTATGTTATACACAATACATTTCCATTATTTTCATTATCATGAAATGGGATTTTAAAAAATCCCTAAAAGGCATGATCAATACAGCGGCTGATAGCAGGGGGTGGTGCATTTATTTAGTCTCACAAAGGAAGGTCGTGACACACGTCTTCACAGACGAATCTGACCAGGATGGGAAAAGGAGCGCAGAGTGGAGGACAAAGCAGAGGTGGAGAATAGTTTCCTCCTAATGGGCTGCTTGAAGCTGCCCCTGAAATCCAAAGTGTCAGTCCGGCAGAGAGAAACATCATTCAACAGGGACACAGTAATTCTCCTCCAACCTGTGTTCCAGCAAGAGATGAATCAATTTGTGCAGGGCCGATAGAG